TTTAACTGTAGGACTGTTCGTCCTGGTTTTATATGAAATTTAAATATTTATCAAATATCATTGTATTCATGAAGAATCTTTCTTGTTTCAATAATATTAATACTCTTTTTTGTTATGATACAACAAAAGTGCAATTTTATCTTCGATCGAATAATAATTTGTTCAATTCAACGAATTATTTGTTTATTAAATAAATATTTCTTTTATTTTAATCTTAAATGTGGTGCCTGAAGAAAAATAAATAGAAAAACAACCATTGTACTAATTAAAAAAATAAAAACAAGTAGACGATCAACAACTCGACCTAAAATTTGCCATTCTTGTGTAATAATTCTATTGTGTTCTTGTTGTTCATATCGATGTTCATTTTGTTCAACAATACGATGTATATAATCAATAGATAATCTCATACTATTCGAATATTTATTTGATAAGTCTGTTAAATAAGTTTGATTATTTTTATCATTAGATTTTTGTTGTTGGTGTCTATTTGATGATTGTATAGATGTACAAGAACGAAGTATTAATGGTGGAGATGTATAAAAATCAAATGAATGAAGATTATCTGAAGATGTTAATGAACTTGTTATATTAGGTTCAATTGGATCTTCATATAATGTCATTTTACCATTATGTAATGAAGTATTTTTATTTGTATAATCAGTTTTATTTGATGAATATTTGTTTAATAGTTTTGTTTGTTTTTTCTTTGTTTCAGATTGTACTAGTGAAAATGACGTTTTTGTTCGCTAAAACAAAAGTAAAAAAAAAAATTTTTTTTTCGTCGATGCTTTTTTTTTTCTTAGAGCTTATTTTTTTTTATTTTACCTTGCATTTTAGAAGATTTTCTTCTCGATTTTGTGAATAAATAGGAAATTCAATATTCATAAAAAGTAATTTTGGAATTATGATAAAAAATAATCGTACCATCCAGTTTGGAACAGGATGAAGATAATGTTTGCCACGATGATACAAATTAAGAGAAGCAACTGACATGCCTGTTGCTATGCTTACAATTATGATGGCAGAAAAATAATAAACACCTAAATTGATTAAAATAAAATACAGTGTATTTTAGCAGTGTCTAAGATCTAACGAGAGAACTTCTTCAACTCTCAACTTCCGATTTCAATGATTTTTGCCTGTAGATACTACATACTGTTCTAAGAAAAACTTTAAAAAAGTTTCGGTTGCTATTGAAATTTGATTGTTCACAATAATCAATGAGATAAATTTTCTACTAGAGTTCTTAAAACGGTACAAATCATCTTTATACATTTGTTTATATATGTGAATGTGAGTACAAAAAATGAATCAACAATACTTTGTTATCTTTAATTTTGGCAATCAAAGAACTTTGTGAAGGAATTAGTCTTTGGACATTCATCAAATATGGTGAAATGATTGACTTTCTAATTCTGAAGGAAAGTTTCAAATATTTATCTATTGTTTCGAATTCAATATTTAGTAGACTATTAAAAAAAAGCAGGTCTAATTTGTGAAAAATGATTTAATCGTTCTTTTAAAATTATATGTATTTTCCAAGTATTCTGAATCGTTTGTCTACTCGTTCAAAACATTGGAATCTAATCATGTCGATATGAACCATGTCATAAACTCAATCACATTCAGTTCAGATCAATTCATAGACAAAAGATTAGTTCAGGAAATTGAATAAAAATCCACTAGATTACAACTATGTCTATATGATGATAAGTTATGAATCATGAATATTAAAAAGAAAACTAGTGTCTCTTATTTTTTGTGTCACATGTACCGAAGAAACGTTTTGATTAATAATACACTCTACAAAAAAAAACATCTTATATTATCATTTAAATTAACATACCGATTAAAGGTAAAGAATCTGAATTAGGTGGCATACTATCAGTAACAAGCATAAGAAATACTGTCATTGAAAGAAGAGTTGTTACACCAATAGATACTTTTTCGCCTAAATAAATTAAATATAAAAACATATAGATTAAATAAAAATTAATAAAGTTTTTCATACCGCTATCAGATGGAACACAAAAACCAAGAAATGCAACACTTGTAATAAGAAAACAAGGAAGAATCATATTAAATACGTAAAATAATGGACGACGACGCATTTGTACTATATAAGTAAGATCAGGAAATGTTTCTGGACCTAATTTTATGTTAATTATTATAGGAAATAATGAAACAAACTCTTTTTACATACAACAGGAATATTTAACAACATGTTTTCTCACGTGTAATTTAATGATTTCCCATTCTAAAATAAACCATACATATATATATATTTGTATCCAACGTGGAATTTCTGAATATAATTTACGTTGAACTTCAAATTCTTATTGATGACATTTCTGAGCTGTATCCATGGACAACTTCTGAAATCTTGGTTTACTTAGTCCATTGATCATTATATAAGTTTGAAATGTTATTGCTTTATCAGAGTTCATCAATAAGAAGGCGAATCCAAGCAGATTGGGTCAAGTTTTAATGTAAGCTTTCTTTACAGTCTCAATCCAGGATTAAAAAATAATCTCAGTTGGGACACTAATCCTTTCTTTCTATAAGAACATAATCTACCTGAATTTGCCATAAAATTACTCAAATCACCAATATTTGTTTTTTGTGCTAGATCAATTCGAGCACTATCATAAGTCCATGACGCAAACTTCAATGTACAATTTTGTTCATCTATTTCGATACAAAAAATAAAAAATAAAACATATTTCGATATTTTTTTTTTTATAAGAAAAAAACTTATTGTTCTTACCAAAAGGAAAATAACGAACATCAATAGCACATGAACTCTTAAAAATACCTGTTGATAACCATGTAACTATACCTTCCGAAGATACCATAACATTTGTTGATATTTGACTTAATGAAGCAAGATTATCAGCATTCTAAATGAAAGATTTATTTTTATTCAAATAGAAATCTTAATACATTAAATTTCTAATAAAAATCTATTCATGATTGATACCCAATTTGGAAAAATAATATTACGGAAAACAAATAGAGATTGATCTGCATATGCAATATATGTGTCCGATCATGAGAAAATGTCAAGTAATTAAAAACATATTGATGAATTTGATCATAATTCTTACACTATTTTATTTTATATAGGAGACTAGTAAAGAAAACTTACGCTAGTTACTTTCATGTATGTCTAATTCGTATTATTTCGCAAAGTAAGCGGTTACTTTATCGATGATTTAACAAATAACTAAGAAGAATTTACAAGTACAAATTATTTTTATGTTCTCATGTGATTGAAAAAAAATCATCTTCATCTAATATAATTTATAATAATAACAACTCTAGCCTTCAATCATCTCGAGGTTTATATTTTGATAATAATAATAATAATAGAATATAAGGCCATGAGAAGTGTACATTAGAATATATATCAATGAATTTCAAAAAGTTATTTTTAATAAAAAGAAAGACTAAAAAGACTTTTCAAACAAAATGTTAAATCAATACTAACTATCTCAGATCATATAGTCTATTTTAATGGAAATCATTTTCTATGCATTATTCAAGGAGCTTGAATGCTATTACAGCAGAAAAATTATAGAGAATTCAATTATTCCATCAGAACAATTTATTTTGTTCTTCATCATTTAATTGTTCATATAAATTATTATGATTTATTAAAACAAAAACACAAATATTCTTTTTATTAAAATACTTCAACTATAGAAAACTAAATATTATCATGAAATTTTACTTACATTATATAAAACAATATCAGGTAACCAAATTTTGTCGTATTTAATATGAAGTAAACTGATATTTTCCCATTCTAAAGGATTCCAAGTAAGTTTTGGATCAAGCCAGCTCTATTAAATAATATGATATGAAAAACACAAGAAATAAGAATATCTTATATATATATATCTGATCAGTACCATAGTTAACCATTGATTTGTTGTAATAATTTGATTTTTTTCATCAACATCAATAAGTTGAGCAAGTGATAAATCAAATGAAATATTTGTTACATCAGTATGAACTCGTGCCGGTCGTACTGTTTTATCATAAACAATTGGATCTAATAAAATTCGAGTTAAATTCATTTCAACATCACATAAATGCATTTCTATTAATGATTAAAACAATTACAATATAATAACCAAAAAAAAAAACAAAAATTTATAATATTCATACCTGATATAAAACAAAAAATTAATAAAGATATTAATTCCATATTGAAACAAAACATTGTATATGTATGTATGTTGATAGTGTGAAATGGCATTGAACGTAAAAAAGGGCCCCACTTAAGACGCGATACAGCCGACTAATTGAATTATTCTTTGTCGCAGGGGTTGTTACATCTTTTGTTATTTTAATCTATGATGAAGCGAATGAATTTTCTTGTTCTTTTTTAAGCATATCGACATTCGTCTTTTATTTTTATCATATATATATAGAGAAAGACAGAGAGAAATATGTGTACTAATTTTCAAAGATTAAATAAATTTATTTCTGTGAGATTTTTAGTTAATGAATAATATGAATGGAAAGAGAAATGAAAAAAAATAGAAATGATCAACTCATCGTTTATCACTAATGTCGGATCAAATCAACAAGGGAAGAAACAGTATCATTAACTGTGAAGTATGTGTTCAAGCTAAGGAAACAAGAAGTACTTCATCTTACAAAGAAAGAATAAGCAACAAAAAGAACGCATCGAATATATCGATTTTATAGGTGGACATGAAGAAATATGTCTTATGATGATGATGATCAGAAAAAAAGCCAAAAGTTCCTATATATATATATATATATACATCGTTCTATACGAATCTCTTTTTTTTGCGTAAAAAAAGCATCCGTGCGGAAGTGTGTGTTATGACATGTTCAAGTACCCTAATTTCCTTTTTTTGTCTTGTGTTTTATTTTTCTCGCTAGATTCTCAATCAAGCAGAATCAATATTATGTGATGTCAAAAATGACAACTATGCAATGACTGATTTTTAAGTATCGATATTTGTATGAATGAATATAGTGTGTCATTAAGTACATCTTTGTTTTCCGGAATATTTTCAGAAATAATCAATCAGAAAAATTTTGAAAGTGTTAATACAAATAGATTTTAATAAGTGGAAGTGATGTTCAATTTGACTTCAAGTTATTAGAAAATGCGCTTTAAACGATAGAAAAAAGATTTATTGTTAATTATAATAAAGTATATATTATAGATTTAGACTTGAAGAGTAATATATAAAAATTCGAAATTACAATTCGATTTGAAAAAAAAGAAAAAGGTTAAGCTTAATTGAATAAAGTGAATTATTTTGTATAGAATTTTGAATAGAATGAAGAATCTTATTAATATGAAATGAAGTTTAGAAGCTTTGTATGACTGATAAAAAGCTGAGTGTCATTCTTGAATAGAATGACATTTCTTAAGTTTTCTTTCAAGTAAACTAATCAAATTGTCTGTGAGCTGTCGAACATATACTGTTCTGAAAGAAGAGAAATGAAGATTTTAAATTTTATATCAAATCAGTGTTTTATCAAGCAAGAGGATGATCTGTCCCTGTAGATCGAGTTCGTCTTCCGAAACTTGTGATTATTGTATCATGTACTATGTGTTTATGTTTCTAAAAATAGGTGTTTGCTATCGAAGAATTTTAATTCGTGCTTCTGGAAAAGACAATCCAGATAAAACACTTTGTCAAATTATTTTTTTTTTTATAGGGAAAATTTCAATAGCAGTAGTCCTTTTCACGGATTATATGAATGTTTTTTATTCTCAATAGTAAAAAACTGTGAAATTAAAATGAAAATAAATTTTTCTATATAAAGAATTTTTAAGATAACAAAACAATATAAAATCATCCTATTAAGTTAGTTTTATTGAAGTGTTTTTCTATCTCGAAGTAGTTCTATTAAATCTTTCCCTTTACAAAGCTCTTGAATAAAAAAAACAAAAAAAGTTTTTTTTTCTATACAAATGCATAGGAAGGCTCAAAGAATCGACATTGTCTGAACTTACACACTGTATAATAACTTAAAACATTTCCTTGTTAATAGAAAGGAGTAATGTTTGTAAGAAGATTTGTTTAAGTACAATAATCTTTTTATTTATTGAAAGAATGTTGTCTTTTCAAAAATACTTCACAGCTCATGAATAAAACTTTCTCGAAACATTAAACACTACAGCATACAACTTCAATAAAATTAATAGAAAACATTAATTAGAGATCTTTTTTTTCTTATTGCTTGAAAAGAAAATTATAATGGTTCATATAAGACAATGATTGTATTTTAAATTAAATTATTTGTAAAGATCTTTCATATGAATACAGATTATCGCTACTGTTTAACTAGACAGCAAAAAAAAAATCACTTGGTTCAATTATAGCAAATATGATTGAGTTTTTATTTTTTTTTTCGGGAAATGACTAACGAATAATAGTTGATAAAATCGAATACCATTTACAGTATATGAGTACTAAATAGAAAGTATGTGATTTGATTTATAATATATATCATAGATAAGTTTGATGCTTGAAAAGATTTCCCTATTGCATGGAATATCTCATGAGATCAATATTTCATTCTATTCTTAGGCTTAATTCTGCATCGTGTTACCATACAAACTAATTTCACATCCAAAAGACAACGTTTTACTTTAATATTTTGATCGATCATTTTTCTATAAGCTATTGATTATTATTTCTTTTCTCATTACTCTATGTTTTGACATATCATTCCTTTTATTCCAAAGAAGAGAAAAAATTCATCATATGGCTTCGAAAACATCCCGTTTCTCTTAAATACAATGACATTCCAATGATGTTTCTCTTCTTCAGGAGAAGAATTAATCGAAAGAGAAGAGAGAAAAGAAAAGACTCAAAGAACACAATATATGACATAAAAACAAAAGCCACAACGACACATCTAAATATACGAGAAAGAACAAACTATCTAACTAAAGATGTATCATGGTTGATGACCATGACATTGATTGTTTGACATTCAATAATATTGTGTCTCATGTGCAAAAAAAAAATTCATTTATGGTATATTTAGATACTACAACATACGTTAAAGTTATACTATCATTTGTTCTTGTATTGATTGTGATAAATATTTCAGAACAATTTTTTATCTCATATCTTAGTCATGTCGAGTTCAAATTACCACAATATATATGGATACCTCTTCTCTCTCGGGACTCCACATTTTTGTTTTTTTTTGTGATCATTGTATAGCGTAAATTTGTATCTATCTACTGAGTACGTTCTGAAATTCAGATATTGTCTTCAAATGCTAAAAAATTGAATTAATAGTGTTTTACGTTTTTCTTAAACCAACTTTTTTTTTACGAAAAAAAGTATAGAAATGCTACTATCCGTCCAGTATACTATGTCCGATCGAACTGAAACTTTTTCACACACACTTTACACTGTTTGAGATAGGTATTTTCTTTTTATTTAAAAAAAAATACATGCGTTTTTAAGGACACCGTCGATAGGTTTGAGTTTATTATTCGAGAAACAAATAATAGAAAAACATCGATACCAAACAATTCCTAGTGCATGTTAAAAAACTATCAGCTTGATCGAACACACCATCTCGGAGAAATAGGGAGTGCACATTGATATCTCAGCATCTCATAAGAGTCAGCATTCAGAGTGATTTTGAAAAAAAAAGTGGGATATACACTTACATATCTTTGGTCAAGTTGAATATTAAGCGAAGCTATGGCTTATCAATTATATAATGCATATGTTATCAAGTGTTTCTAAACATTGATTCGATTCTATTGAAATCTTAATAAAACTACCTTGAAACTGTAAATAGACCAATATTCAGAATTATGCATCAAAAGTATGATGTGACGAATGACGATAGACAAACTCACATAAATGCATTGCATTAAAATCATTTTGACTATTTGCAGAATATATCCACCATCTATGTTGTGTGACTTTCTTCAACACAAAATATTCTTGTATGAGAACTATAATTATATTGTACTATGAAAAGAAAAACGAGCAGTTGTAAACAAAGGAAGTATAAGCATGACAAATATCATAAACTTGTTCCACAATTATAAATCTCTATTTGCTTATATACTTTTTTTTAAATAGAGTTATTGTGATCATGAATTTATTCGATTATTCTTGTACTAATCTTATAAAAATCCTTCTTCATATACGCGTTCCTTTTTCTCTCTCTATTAATTTGATCTTACAATTAAATATGTAATTTTTTGTTATTTAGGTTTTTCTATATACATATGTATTTTTTTCGTGACACTATAATATATTTGGTTTCTCTTGTTCTATCACAAGGATAAAGTTCGTATACAGCAAAGAGAAGCGCAATGATATGTCACATACTTATATATATTTTGGGTTGACTTCAGAAGGATCAAATACAATAAAAGAAAACGCGCACTATATAAGATCTACATGATTTCTCAATTTCACTTGCTATGAAAAATTAAAAATCAAAGAAACAAAATATAGTCTAATTTTTATTTTTGTGAAGAGTTGCTCTTTCAAGTTTACAGAGGTCGCTGCTGTCATTCATAAAAAAATGCTTTCATTGATTCACACGGTTTTTTTTTCTTCATACATTGTCATGACAATGCTAAACACTAATGGTAGACACATTGTGTTGTCTTCTGTAAAAAGGCTACCACACAAACAAGAAATAACTTGTTTTATTCGCACGAAATAAATATGTATAAACTCGATTTACCCATCGATCTTAAAGAAAAAGCAGCTATTGAACGACGTCGTCGTGCTGAAAAAGAACGTCAAGGACGAATATTCAATGCTAAATATCGACAAATAGGGGTCTTATAAATGATAAATTTATTTTATTTCTCAATCTTCATAATATTTTTTTTATCTATATAAATAGGTTGATAAAGAAGCACTTGATCAACAAATTCAAGATCGTCAATGGATGGAAGATTTAGAACAAAAACGAGCAGCTGCTTTTGGTAATTTTATCTTGTTTATTTATTTTTTAATCAACAAATTAAACAATAAAACTAATTATTAAATAATATTTATAGCTAAAGATTCTATTCGAAATGATACAATTACACAATTACTTCAACGTCGTC